TTGGTTTTTTTGAAGTAGAATGTAACATTTATAAATTACAACATGTGAATTCTGTAAATTATGGTATGTGAATAAATTGAATTGAATTGAATTGAAAAAAAAAATAATGACAGTAAAACAAATGTTTTTGAAATGAACTCGAGTAACATCCAACAGTTGTAATAATTAGCCAAACTCTTCAAGTTTATCAAGAAATCTTAAAAAATGTCTGAGTATGTGTATCATGACTCCCTTTGTTTGCTTTTTCCGCACTTGTGAAGAATCAAGGTTGCCATATAATTAGTTTTTCTCAACTAATACACCAAAAGAGCCACCAACTATTATTCATGAATATCCAGCCGAGTCTCCAACCTTCATGATCTATTTATTATCAAAACTTTTTCTACCACTGATGTGATGCAAGTGAAACAGTAAAATTTTTAGTTGTACATAACAAAAATCAGCAATTTTGAAATAATTGCCATTTCGCTCAAATCTGTTTTACAAAAGAATGCGGAGACTTGCTTCAATCATAATAATAATGAATATTCGTTGAGTTAAACAATACAAAATTCCACACAAAAGGATCAAGTACGTTCAAAATGATATCAACCTAACCTTAACACAGTTGAAAAACATAGGAAACAAACAAACCCTAAAACATGCTAAAATTTATTGAATTAAGCTGCCCATTCAGGATAGCTTCTTTAGGATTTTTCTTCTAAGTAGAAACAGATAAATTACAATACTCTGAGGTCATATTATTCAGCGGATGAGGTACTGGATAAGAAAAAAATGTCTCAATAAATGAAGAATGATGGCCAGCAATAGAAAATTTATCATTCATGTTCCTATATGCTCTGTTGTGAATGTCCTTCCTTCGAACTAATTTTGAAGCAAGGTACTTGGACATTCCAGTAGCCAACGTTTTGTTGACAAGACAAGCGTAGTGAACAAAACGCAAAGTTACAATTCCAGAATACGGGGGTGATATGTGCATGAGAGGGAACCTTGAGGGGGAACGAAATCATTGATTTTGCATTTTTCACACTCTTCATGTGATGAGGAAGGTTTATAAACTATGTCAACATAGTTGGTATGTGAAAGGACAAAAGTGTTGCAAAGACATTTTTGTGGTAGTGTCCAGGTTCCGTTTTGAAAGGAATGGTTTTTTAAAGCTTAGGTAGGTTCTCTTTGCGACGACACCTAATTGTTTGGAGAATTTGAGCTGTTGGTCAAAAATGACACCAAGGCATTCAGACAGAAGGAATGCATTCGTTGTCAATACTTACAGGGAACTCATCAAGACGTTTTGAGTGTAAGAATGACCCAATAAGGATATTTTAGCTTTTTGTGGGGTTTAACAGTAGGGGTTTTTCCTCGGTTCTCCTCTTTAAAGTTGAAAGAATCTTGCTTATTTTCATGAGCTACTCAGTTTTTTGATAAGGTTGAAAGTTGAAGTAGAGGGAGTACCTAGTCGTTGGCAAACATATGCAGATTACAATCTGCCATTAATTAACTCAAGTCAGATATAAAAATAGCAGAAATAGTGGGAGCAAGTACCTAATCCTTAGGTACATGATTATTGACAATACGAGTGCCTGAGGTGAGTACTGTTGGCTGGTCATTTACACTGACAAATTGTGATAGGTTGAAGACACAGGCTTTGAACTAGTCTGAAATTCGACTCATAACAATGGAGTTTGACGATTAGACAGTCGACACTACGACACGTGTCTCGATGTCCAGATAACGATTTGGAGTTGGGAAAAAACTCCAGTAGTATTCATTACTACACCAAATGTTCCAAACAGTGCATCACAAGGTATAGTGTTCCAAATGATAATTTGATATGTGTGAGGGGCAAAAGGAAATTTTCAATTAATTGAGATTTTGTCAGGCCATTCAGTATGGGGCTCTTTATTTGTTTTACCAAATCTGGACTGATAGAAATAAACTCAAAGGATGCCGAAGAGAAGGAGTTTTGGTAGGAGCTTCCAATGTAATTCAATTGGCTGGTACTCTGGGTACTGAGTCAATAAATTGATCGTTGATAAAAGGAATTCTAGGAATCACACGTTGAAAGGTAAGACCTCGTTAGTCCTTAGCTCTCACAAGTTTGGACTTCTGAGGGTTGTCGTTCGTAGGGGTGTGACAGCTGGTTAACAGAAAATCAGATTTCAAAGGGACAGATTTAAACAAATTGGAATCTTCATTTCAGAATGGAGAATCGCGTTGAAGGTATAACGCAGAGAACAGTAGTGATTCCCATGAAATTCTAGTTTGGTTTTGTTAAATTTCCCGGTCGAATTAGAGATTAGGCAGTAAGAGTTTCATTATCTATCCACAAAAGTTGTTTTTTTAATGATTATAAATAATTTCCGTAATTTTCAATATACATGCCAAATTTCAGATTTGGAAATCCCACTGCTTGAAAGGTTTCAGAAAAATGCTTTTCTAGGACGGCCACCTCAACTTCAATTTTTCAAAATCGTTGGGGATCATATCGACCAAAAACTAACTGGTTTTCAAACAATTAAAGTGAAACACTTATCCTTCTTCAATAAACATATTCTGGTAATATTTATAAAATCACTCTTATCACATTCATTGTTGTTTTCTTAAGTTTTGAAACCCAGCATTTCATGTTTTGGCTATAACTAGATTGGAAGGTGTATTTTCTGAAATTAAAGGTAAATTCTGTGTCGTCCAGTGATGATTTCATTCATTCAAATATAATTTTCATGAAATATTTTGTCAATAATTTCATAGAATCTAATCATGACTTTCTGTGGGGCACTATTCAGGGCTTTTCATGATGAGCGTTAATTAGCCGTGCAAACTATTCAACGGATCAACCTGAAAATTCCACAATATGCCTAAGTCAATATGAGCTATATGCCTAAAATATTTTAGACGAAGCGGCGTTGTCGCTTCTACTGTAAAGTAGCGGCTTCTTTGATTTTTCAAATGTAACACCCCGTATATAATATCATATTATGATTCATTATCACTTTGTCAACAAATTCATATTTCCCTATAGCTATCTATTGCCGTTTAGAAGATATAAATTAATTTCGATATTTTTTTTACCAAACATGAACTTTTATAAATGCTGATAATCTTGAACTCTCTTGCACTAAAACGATCAAATTTGAAATGGAGTGGAGTGATACTATGAGGATCTTCACTCCGAGTCNAGGGTGTTCCGTTTGAAAAAATTGAGTTCCACTCATTTTTTCATGAGATCAAAGTATCTGCATTTTTTGAAGACCCTGTATGAGGCAAATGAAAATATGACTCGGAGTGAAGATCATCATAGTATCACTCCACTCCATTTCAAATTTGATCGTTTTAGTGCATATTTTAAGTGTGTAGGTCATATTGATTTATGCATACTGTGACATTTTCATACATATTGTGACATAGTTTGTCAGAAACGGCTAATTAACGCTCATCATGAAAAGCCCTCTATACATAATAGTGTTAGTTCTTGCATACCTACAACTAGCTTTTACCCGCGGTTTCGCTCACGGGTAACAAAAAAAAAATAACAATAATTATAGATAAATTCCAAACAGCTAAAACTATACTCAATTGGATTGGATTGGATTGAATATTGTCGTGACTATGAATAATATAGTGCGACGGTATTACGGTACTAAGGGTTGGAACTTCATTACTGGAATGCTAGATGTTACTTCTAATACCTCCAAGAACATGTGCACAAAATTTTATGATGATCGGTTGAGTAGTTTTCGAGTGAAATCTTAACAAACAAACTTACATTCGCATTTATAATATCAGTAAGGAGTAGGGATTAATGGGCAACCAAATTGATAGTTACTTGTTCTGTTGTATATCTGTCTCCAAAACCCATTGTTAATTATGGATATTTTTTCAGGTATCTAATAATCCACTTTCATTTAATCTGTGATAAGTGTATTACTGGTTTCATCCAAAGATTGTTTCATATTCACGTCTTCCATAGGTTTTGGGAGGTTCCAGTGTCCTCAATGCCATGATCTATGTTAGAGGTAACAAGCTTGATTATGACTATTGGGAACAACAAGGAAATCCTGGATGGTCTTACAAAAACGTCCTACCATACTTCCTGAAATCCGAAGATAACAGGAATCCCTACCTAGCCAAAACACCGTATCACTCCACCGGAGGTTATTTGTCAGTCCAAGAATCCCCGTGGAGGACTCCTTTATCCATAGCTTTTCTACAAGCTGGCAGAGAGCTAGGGTATGAGGTTAGAGACTGTAATGGAGAGAAACAAACTGGATTCATGCTATCACAAGGTACTACCTCCATTAGATTATACCAATTTCAGTTGCTTCCTCATTTGAAATTGAGTGAAATTCTCATTGTACTCACCCGTAGGACTGATAATCCATTTTATAATTCTCATCGAACGATTCGAAGATTTCGACGAATATTATGAATGGTAAAATTAGAACAGGCATGTCTCTTTGATACCCTTTGATATTCTGAAGGCTTGTTCTTAGATTGATGTTACAAGTTCATAGACACTAAAATATTTTCAGTGATTGGTTGATTTTGACAGCATTTGAATTATACTTCATTGTGAAATTCTTACTAAACATTTTCTTGTATATAGCTGGATCCATAGAAATGAATTTCTCTCAAAAATATACCCCTTGAAATTCAGATTTTGAATTTGAACTGAAGCTGAATCTCTACTCCAAACTCGCTTTTTTATGAAATATTTACCTAGGAACCATACGAAGAGGGTCGAGATNGTGATTGGTTGATTTTGACAGCATTTGAATTATACTTCATTGTGAAATTCTTACTAAACATTTTCTTGTATATAGCTGGATCCATAGAAATGAATTTCTCTCAAAAATATACCCCTTGAAATTCAGATTTTGAATTTGAACTGAAGCTGAATCTCTACTCCAAACTCTCCTTTTTATGAAATATTATCATAGGAACCATACGAAGAGGGTCGAGATGTTCCACAGCCAAAGCCTTTTTGAGACCTGTCAGGAATAGGCAAAATCTGCATATAGCCATGTATGCTCAAGCTACGAAAGTCATGATACATTCGAAAACCAAGAGGGCTTACGGCATCAAGATGGTGAGGAACAACCGACCGCAAATGGTGAGGGCCCGCAGAGAAGTCATACTTAGTGCTGGTGCCATCGGATCTCCTCAGATATTGATGCTATCTGGAGTTGGTAAGAGAAAAGTTTTCCTTTGTTTTATTAGTAATTGAAATCGAATCAACAGACAAGAAGTTTCAGATTGTTTTGGATCAGACTCTTAATGTATTCAGTAATAATAGTTATGAAATTCTTGTGTCTGTAGATGATCGTTAATATATTCTCCAAAGGCAAATCATCTAAACAGCTCATCATCATCTTCTTTTGAGTTATTCACAAGTTGTCAACAGAAGACATCAATTTCTTCTTTGATCGATCATTTCTCCAGAAGTTCACAAATTCCATCACCATGTTGTCACGAAATTAATATCACTTCTAATAATGAAAAATGTTAAAATATGAAAGAACTGACCGATACTTGACGAAAATTCATTATATCGTATTCAAACGTCACACTGTGATGTGACATTTGCAGTGTATACTTTGTTTTTGGTGAACTCATTGAAAAACCATATATTTTAAGATGATAAAGCAAAACGTAGAATTACCCCCCTATTTTTTCCAATGGCATGAGTGATACATCATTTGAAAAGTCTTCTTTCCTTCTATTATCTCTGTAATTTTTTTCAAAGTTGGTTCATTCGTTATTGAGAAATTTAAAGTTGAAGGTTTTATTTAGGAAAAACAGAAAATTCGCTGTCGCTCATTTCACACATATACATCTTTGTTGAGATAATTAATCAAACATCAAAAATCTAGTCACTGATAAGTTTTTTGTCCCTATCTTAATAGCTAAGCTTATCTGTGCGTGACTCCCTCGAGGTGGCTAGACGAACAAGATTGATCTTAGAGTTCCAAACTTAGGTCTGCAGTGTTCTGTCGGTACAACAATTGTGATCGGCTCAACAGCTGGTATCTACCAAATACTGCTACTACTCTATTAGACATTCATGCAAGGATGTCTAGTCTTACAGCAATACTAACACGAGGAAATGGTATCCAGATAAAAGAAGGCCTAAAATGAAACAACTCATATTAGATGGAAACGGTTCACTGTAAGTGATGTCCAGGATGATACGTCTGGACAGAATGATCAAGCTCATTCTCTGAATGTATGAGTTGTCTCGTTGATGAATACCAACTCGCCTTTGATGTCGTGTGGCCTATAGGTTTACTTTTGCCCCAAGAAGCCAAGATTTAAATCAGTAAGATTCTGTTCTCCGTAAGAAATTGAATCCAACAATATAGTTGAATGTTTTACCAGCATCCAAATTCCAATAATGAAAAAACAATTTCCTATTCTTATAAAAGATGATCTTACTTTGTTAATCTGAAAAATCGAGAAGTTTGGACATGAATTCCAAAATTAGCAAATGGCTACCAAAAGTACCAGAAAAAATGTTTGAATCCCAACATTCATTGAACCAAAGTAGTCAATTCACCGTTCCCTCAGAGCACAGAATCCTTAGGGGATTCGAATTTGTGTTCGAATATAATTAACGCCTTCGAATATATCCTTGTATAGTTGTTTATCAGTGAATGGGAGCTGAGCGAATGACGAGGTATTAAAATATCCCAAAACCTTCATGGAAGGTTTCAGGTTTAAATAGTCGTCGACTTCAAAACAGAACAAATGCCAAAATGAAACCGTAACGCTAGTGACACACACACCGATTTTGGACGGCCAGTATAAAATCGGCCGATATTTTATTGGTAGCGGGTGCTTGCACACTCATCGGATTTTTATCGGTCAAACAATCGGTTGCTTTGTTGTCGTAATTAGCACGCACTACCAAAACGAAGTTAATGCATAGTAACTACAATTTCACCGAGCATTCGAGACTGGAATGGTCGGTAAAAAACCGGTGAGTATGCAAGAGTGTATTTAGTCATGTACGCCACTACTTACCGGTACTGCCGGCGATACAGTGGCAGTGGACAGCTGCTCACCGGTATTTTACCGGCGACGATTACCGGTCGGCGTGTGTGCCAGGTCCCGTTCCCACATGTGGTTCACTATTGGAATTTGGACGACCAGTATAAAATCGGCCGTCCAAAATCGTTGTGTGTGCAACTAGCGTAACAATATGAAAACTTCTCCGTTATTCAACTCAATTATTATTGGTTTCGCCCATAGACTTTTCAGGGAAGATATATGTGCTGTATTTAGAAAATAATGAATTATCCCATTTACAATAGTGAGACTCACCTCTGTGTTCTTTTGGGATGATGGAGGGGCCCTTGGACTATTGTTTTCCAAGTTGAATAATTATTGAGCGTCAACTGTGTTCTATTCACAAATAAAAATCGAAAAAAGTTTTGAGCACATTCAGCGGAAAATCTGAATCAACTGACTGGGTGTTTGAAAAATCGTCCTTTTCAGTTCTCGCTAAAAGTCTAATAAATGCATTAAAGGATTTCAGCAAAATATTGAAATTACATCAAGCGTGAAATGAATCTTTCCCAAACAAATGATAATTATATTGAATATATACTGTTTTTCCAGGTCCAAAAGAACACTTAGAATCCTTGAAGATACCAGTACTGAGCGATCTGAAAGTTGGATACAATTTACAGGATCACGTTGGTTTGGGAGGCTTCACTTTCATAGTTGACGATCCCATAACTTTCACCAAAAAGCGATACCAAACTATGCAAGTTGCCATGGAATACATAATTCGTGAGAAAGGACCCATGACGTCTCTTGGTGGAGTAGAAGGTAGGTGTCTCACCAAATTCATACTTGTATTTACTTGTAACGAACTTATGAAAATAATATATTATTTCACCACTGTTGTTGAATAAGATAATGGTCGTGAAATATAGTAAAATAAGTAAAAAAATATATTAAACGGTTTTGTTGAAGAAATAATAATAATGATGATGTAGATAATATACTAGAAACTGAAAAATAATTCGGACGGTCCTAGGTAGCATCACAGCACTATCCTCAGCAATCTACGGTATTGATCAGAAAAAACAAAAAAATCGTTGAGTATAGAGTAACCTGAGTAAATTTGTAAATACTACGCCCAACGATTTAATTGTTCGGAGCTAGCTCGGAATGACAGTCAATCCCTATTGCGAAACTATCAACCTCCCCTACAGTTTCGAAACTAATAATTTACGAGGATCTGCTACTGAATAACGAGACTGATTACAAAAAAGGGTTTTATTATAAATATTCGAATGCTCCCCTTCAATACACTCCCTTACCATCGCCACACACCTTTCCATACGTTTTTTCCATTGATAGAAGCAGTGCTGGAAGTCTTTTTTGGTGAGGGCCTTTAGGAGCTCTGCCTTTTTTTGCTTTACCGCTTCCATCGACTCAAATCGTGTCTCTTTCAAAGCACATTTTATCATCGAAAACGAAGAGAAGGAACACGGTGCCAAATCTAACGACAACGGCGCGTGTTTGAGTACTGGAGTGAGTTTATCGGCCAACTACCGCTTTACAGATAGCGCATTATGGGCAAGTGCGTTGTCCTGGTGCAAAATCCACGAGTTGTTCTTCCTCAACTCGGGCTGTTTCTTAAGAACTCGTTCTCGTAGTGTTGCCAAAACTGACGAATAGTTGACAGTTTGACCCTCTGGAAACCATTCAGTCATCACGATACCGTTAATGTCGAAAAAAAAAACGATCAACATTGCCTTGAATTTGGATTTGGACATCCTTGCTTTTTTGTTTTTTGGCGTTTCAGGCGTCTTCCACTGCATCGCATTGAAAAATCCACGTTTCGTCGCAAGTAATAATGTTTTTGATCAGTTCGTGATCTTCTTCTAATCTTTCAAAGAAATCTGAGCAGACCTGATGACGCAAGAGCTTTTGGTCAGGAGTCAGGTTTTTTGGCATCAACTTTGTACAGACTTTTGTCTGTTTGTGTAATTCCTTGTGTAAAGTTTTTCTATCCGTTTCTTTATTGGCGTTTACAGCCTAGGCAATCATCCGGATGCTCCTTCGATGATCGATCACCAAGTGATCACCTTCAAGAGGAAGATTGAAACAGTTTTAGTCTTCCTCTTTGAAGGTAATCACTTGGTGATCGAAACACGTGTCGAGGTGTTAAAAATAACGATTTGGTGTTGGGAAAAAACTCCAGTAATATTCAACCATTAATATGGAAAACTGTCCAATCTCCATATAGTCTTTTTCACTTTTTTAATCCTTTTCTGTCAGTCTTCTTTGGTGATATTAGATAATTCTTTTTTAATGAGCTGTATTACCTTCTTATCAAATTTTAGAAAATTATTTTTACGCCCGATGCTTTACTTCAATTTTCCCCAAATCAATTCGATAGGGATTGAAAACTTAAAAATAGGGGGGAAGTCTCAGTATGGCGTGTCCATACCTTTCTGCAATACTCTCAAGGAAATACACATTTTTAAATGTTTTTGTCTGTAAAACTTCAAGTAGCTGGTTTTTGATATAGTTATCTTCAAAATACAAATTTTTATCTTTTAAAAAACTTTGTATTCCATCTTTCTTTGAATTTTTATTCAGTACTTTGATGAGCTGTAGCGAATGATAGGAAGAACTATTACACTATTCGCATCCAAATTTGGGATCAATGTTTTTTCACACCATTCCTCGAAAATATTAGCTTCCATGTTCTTATGATAGTCAACATTGCAGTCCTCAAGTTTTTTCCACATAATTTCAAAGAATTCGGAACTCATCCTTTACTTCCTCCGCAATGCACAATAATTAGTCGCGATCCTTTGTTTGCAGGCATGTTAGGCGAACACATTCTCGAACCATCAGCCCACCCTTTCGTAACTGTGTCGTGAGTGTTATACCAAGTTTCGTCCAGATAGAAAATTTGCCATTATTCTTGTCTATATTTAGTTATTTGTTCTAAGTATTTGTTACGCAATTCCACTATTCGTCTGCTTTCCATAACTGCTTGACGTTTGTTGATTATTTCAAATCTAAATCCTAGTTTCTTTATTCAATTCTGAAGAGTTTTGTCAACGCAGGTCACGTTATGGCCAGAAGTACCTATTCAATTTTACGTACAGTTGAGAAAGGAATTTCGGTCAAATCTGATGTTGCTTGTAATAGCTTGTTTCCTTGAAAACCAAACTTGAGATGTAGATTCTTATATACATTGAAACATACTCTCTGTGTTTCAATATTCAAATGCATCCGAATCTTATTCACTGGTATATCTTTCTCGCATCGTTCACCATCGCAATTGGAATCACTATACTGGAAAAAGTCTGATTTGTTATCACACTCGTTATTACTATTAGTACTTGTCCAAGGACATTCTAAACAAAAATTTTGAGTAATTATAACTGCACCAATATCGAATTTCAAGTTCTTGAACTTAACACGACGGCGATAACCATTTCCTATTTCTATTCGTCACTGAAACATGACTTCAAATTTAATTTTATGACTCTTCAGCCAATCATAAAACTCGGTTAGTAAAAATTATCCAATACGAACCACCAAGTCTACAGTCCACGTATACTACTTCGCTGCCGGTTTATTTCTATGTATTGGTTTTTCTGGCCTTTGAGACTGCCGCCAACTTTAAGAGTGCACAATATCATTTACTTGGACTATACACTACTTTGTTTCAATATGACTTCGAAATTAAACACAGACTAGGAGAGGTTCGTATTCAGTGCAACTATAAAAAAGAACGCAGGGATTTGTAATTTTTTGTCGAAAGTTTATGTGAATTAAAACTTTTGAGTAGTGAATGAAAAACTACCCATTTTCCCTCTCGTGTGAGTGGGTATTTTCTAGAAAAAAGATCCGTCTACACATCTTCTTCAAAGTGACCCCACGTCGAATTATCTCTCATGAAAATATACTGACTCACTCAGGCCCAAGAGGAGAACTTTTGTTCAAAGAAAAATAGTTTGAGTGTGTGAATTCACAGTTATTATTTTTTTCAGGATTGGCCTTCGTCAATACGAAGTATGCTCCAAGATCCGGGCAATGGCCAGATATCCAGTTTCATTTTGCTCCTAGTAGCGTCAATTCTGATGCGGAACAAGTCAGGAAGGTAACGGGCCTTCGAGACAGCATCTTCAATACCGTCTACAAACCTCTGAAAGACGCTGAAACTTGGACAATCCTTCCGCTGCTATTGAGACCGAGAAGCACTGGCAGGATCAAGCTCAAATCCAGAGATCCTTCGGTGTATCCAGACATAAATCCAAATTACTTCACCCACAAAGAAGATATCCAAACATTGACGGAAGGAATCAGAATTGCTCTTAACGTTTCAGCTTCGAGGGCGTTTCAACGGTTCAAATCAAGACCTCACAAAATTCCTTTTCCAGGTAAGATATTCATCAAAAATCATCGTCTTCAGGTTATCTCTAAAATTATTCTTGATAGCTTTGATCCTATCAAAAAAAGTACTGAAAATTTATATACTGAACGATGATTTAAATAACACGAGCTGGTAGACCGTGATACTCAAAGTATCAAACTTTTCGTTTGCTACTGACTGCGAGGACAAAGGTTATATCTCGAAATCACGATTATACCACTGATGATGTCTGCCGCAGTAACAAACGAAACGCCCACCGGCGTGGATTCTGTTCTCTCTGATCGTGACTCTGTTCGTGGAAAGCTTTTGTTCTCATATTGATGACAGTAATTTTTGGAAGGCTTCAACATCTTAAGCGACCATCAATATGGCTTTCGGAAACGAAGATCAACAGGCGACCTCCTATCGTATGTCACCCATATTTGGAATAACGCAATCGAGAGAAATGAAGAGTCAAGAGCTGATACGCTTGATATTTCTCAAGCCTTTGAGCGTGTGTGACAGGAGGGTTTGCTGGTCAAACTTTGATACTATGGTTTGTCGTATCATTTTTGTGTATGGCTCTCCAGTTTCCTGAAAGAACGTTCTCTACAAGTGGCCGTTGATGGATATCTCTTGAAAACTTTCACCATCAACGCTGGTGTTCCTCAGAGAGAAATATTGTCTCCAACCCTCTATTTATTGTATTTCAACGACTTATTGAAAAAAAACAAGAATCCAATGACAGCACACTTGTCTCGTCATTCCATTTGGATTCCAGGGCATCGGCTGCGGATGCACATCTCCACCGGCAGCGGGAGGCTGCATATTTCAATGAGGATTCAGAGGTGATTTCGAATTGGGGTGGAAGTAACCAGGTTCAATTTTATGCCACGAAAACTCCATCGGTTTTCTCCAGGAAGATGAATGTTTCCGAATCGGATATAATAGTGTCAGGACAGACAATTCCTCTTTCTGCTTCGATGAGTTTGTTGGACACCAATGGACACCAATATGTCTTGGCACAATAATATCGCTGGAATTGCAAAGGATTCTCCCCAAAAGCTTGGAACACTGTTCCAAACCAGCAAACTGTACAATCCTCAGCAACTTTTGATGCTTTATAAAACTCAGATCAGACTTTCCTTGGACTATTGTTCACATGTTGGAGCTCCTTTCCTAAGCAAACCCTGAACCTGCTGGATTCCAGAAAAGAGCCATCCACCTGATTGGAGACACTAACATCACTTGCAACTTTGATAGTCTAGAATCTGGAACATCGAAGCGAGGTTGGAGATTTGTCTCTCTTGTACAGATACTCTCACGGGAGGTGTTCAAGTGACGTGGTGCATTTGATTCCACCAAGAGCGGTACATAAATACGGATTGTGACTGCTTATCGTTATGAGGTTCAACTCAGTGCGCCTCGAACTTCACTGTTCAAGAACTTTCGCATTTGGAGAACTACGTTTATGTGGAATAAACGCATCGAAAACGTTTTTCCAAATGAATTTAATCTTCAGCGATTCAAATACTCTGACACCTTTAGAAGTTGCTCCCAATTGATACTTTCAGGTAGCAAATGAAAAACTTTTCATTTCTCAGATAACATTGTAGTTAATACCCCTTTTCTGTTCAATTACATTTTCTTTTTCCTGATCCAAACATATGCCATACACAGCGTGTAAAGTAGTTTCTTCCAGATCCAAAGTGGAAAAAGACTCATTCGGAACTACTGCTTTCGATTATGAATATTGAAATAGATGGAACTACGAAATTCGTAAAGCCCTCTAAGCCTAGATGATGAATTTTGATATATTTGATTTCTGATTTGCTTCATTAATTTTGAATAGCTTTGAATTTATCTATTTCTACTCAATGCTTCATCACATCCGATAAAAACAATCATTACCTAGTCAATCCGGCTCGAAGGGCCAAAAAATGTTCATTAGACACTTGGAATATTGGAATTCGGGCGTGATGATACGCCCGATCCAGCCATTGTATGGCAAACCAAGTGTTACATTTTTGTAAAACTGTTTAGTGAAAATCTCAAATTAAATTATTTTTTGAATATGCAATGATGACCCAATCAAACGAAGGTATATCGCAGTCACCTGAAAATTTTCGCTTCGTTTCCTTCCTTCGTAGGTTTTCCATTTCTGGGCGATCTTTAATTCTACGGTAAAGTGGACTGTAGTTTTTATGGTTGGAGATGACAGTAATATTGTTTTCTAGGGTAGCGATAGGGGTGTTGATAGAATTTTCTCACATATATTCGAGTACATCGAAAATGTTGCGCAACTTGCACTGACTCCATATTCTCAAGTTTTTTTTCAATGATTTCATCATATTCGATATAATAAGTTGAAGTTCTGAATCATGTCAACGATACGAAAACTAGGTTAGGTCAAGTCGGTGTCCTTACTTGAAAGATGAATGCGTTTGGCATTCGGGTGGTTCCCAAATTAAGATTCGTGAAAACCGGATTTTTATGTGTTAACCACATTTTTCGATACGTTTGGCAATTAATAAAATTTTTATTGCTAAACAGTAATAAACTCGCTTTTCTGCGAACTTAAATGATTGCATTGAAGGATAAAATGGTGATTTAAAAAATTTGAATATTGAAATTTGAACATTCTTGTCACAGCTCTCAACTTATCAATACGAAATACACGTTTAAAGTGAATTGAGTGATTTTAAATGATATATGTCTTGATTAGTTTCTGTGACTATTTCGGTGACTCGGGTATATTGACTCAATTTACCCAGAAGATGAGGCTAACGATACCAAAAAAAAAATACTCAAATTTTATATATAATGTTCATATTAAGACTGTTTGCTTTGAATTGCATTTTTTATGTTGTTTCGAAGGTTTTATCTGTTTCAATTTTGTATTTTTGTGGCTCCATATGTCAATGAATATTTATTCTACTGTATCGTGGTGTAAACTGATTGATACAGAATTTTATACTCTTTACATTGATGATGATCTTATTACTTACTATATAATGTCGTTAGGCGATTTTTGCCTAAGGTTCCTTACTATACAGATTCAAATTGACACAAAGCGCTGCTGAAACAGCCAGAAAAATTTACCAAGCATTTGAGTGTTAACCCTGCGTCCGACACGTGGGGTGTGACATACCCCAGCCGTAGAAAATTCTATATAACTTTTCGAAATTGGCGTCCCAGCGTCGGATATATTTAGTAGCTTCCGCATATAGTCCCCACTCTCATAATCAATCTCAAATCAGTCGTCGTTTGACGTATGTTTGAATCAGACCTGTTATAAAGCAACTGGGGTGCACGAAACCCCACGTGTTCCAAAATTTTGCGCATTCAAAGAAAACTGAATCGAGTAGTTTTTCAGATTATTCGATAAAAATGAGTGGTTATGAGCGAGAAATGGCCCGCCTTCAGTCCTTATGGGATGAAATAGGAAGTGATGATGAAATTAACGATTCATCTGATGGTGATGAAACGAGCGGTAATGTTAGCATCGTTAGTGATTATCCAGATTTCGAACAAGAAGCCGACGACATTGTGGAAATCGAAAAAGACAATAGACAATTACGAAAACAATTTGTTTGTTCGAGTTCGAGGTAATGAAAATTACTTTTTTGGTAAAAACAACATGAAGTGGAGTAAATGTTGTCCAATACAATCGTTTAGAACAAGGGCAGAAAATATCATAAGCCATCTACCTGGTTGAAAAATTTCGCAAATAATGCTAAAAGTACACTTCAGTGCTTTAAAATCTTTTTAGATAATCAAATGATAAGTGACATCGTTGTACATACTAATCAAAGGATTCTGGAAAAAACAAGCGACTGGAAAGAATCGGCCCATTATAAACAAACCAATGAAGTGGAGCTGAAAGCTGTGTTAGGAATTCTATATTTATCGGGAGTTTTCAAAAATAATCGCGGATCGGTAAGAGATTTTTGGAACACCAACGGAACAGGTATAGAAATATCCCGTACTACAATGGCTCTACGGCGTTTCGAATTTCTTTTGAGGTACTTACGTTTCGACAATAAAGAAAACCGTCGCCAGCGACAGGAATCTGATAAACTGGCGGTCATCAGAGCTATAATAGACAAGTTGGTGGATAATTGTCAGATTGCTTATACACCGGAAGTTTTTTTTGACAATAGATGAGCAGTTAGAAGCATTTAGGGGATGATGCCCTTTTCGCCAGTATATACCGAAGAAACCAGTCAAATATGGCATCAAAGTGCATGCCTTGGTGGATGCCTGTACACAGTACTTAACATGGAGGTTTACGTGGGCAAACAACCCGAAGGACCGTTTCATGTAAGTAACAGTCCCAAAAATATAGTGGGAAAGTTGGTGGCTCCAGTATCAAAAACTAAAAGAAACATCACTATGGACAACTGGTATACAAGTTATGAACTTTTTGTGAAGTTGTACCAAGAACATAGACTCACTGCAGTAGAAACTATACGCAAAAACAAGAGAGAGATCCCCGTGAACTTTGTAAATGCTCGAAATCGAGAAATATGCTCCAGTATATTTGGCTATCAATCAAATTTCACACTTCTCTCATATGTACCCAAAAAAGGTAAAGTTGTCCTTATACTGTCTTCTCTTCATCACGATGGACACGTAGACGACTCAGAAAAAAACTCCCATTGTTTGTTTCCTTCTACAATTTGACAAAAGGAAGAGTAGATACTGTAGATCAATTATCATCTATTTACAACATATCGCGAAATTGTCGACGATGGCCTCCAACAATATTTTTTTCATTGATGAATACTGCCGGCATAAACTCGCAGGTTCTCCATAGAGAAAATAATGCTGGTAAAATAGTGAAAAGAAGTGAATTCCTGATTCAACTAGGAATGGAATTGATAAATGAGTAACAAAAGATAAGAGCGCAAAACGAGAGGACCCCTCGAGAAATACGGACTGCCATCTGCAAGATCAGAGGAGAAACTGTGGAACCTCCATCCAAAAGACTCAAACAAAATGGCCAAGGAAGGGGTCAAGATTGCCCTCGTGCCCGTGATCGAAAGACAAAATACATTTGTATCAAATGCAATAAATTCAAATGTCTGGACCATGCAGAAACGTACTGCATATCTTGCGTAGAAATGGAGAATTTTGCCGACCTACAGAACTCCGGTGGAGACTGACTCATCACAAATGGTGCGTGGAATGGCAGAAGTACTGGGCGTCAGTTCCCATGCGGATTTTGATGGTTTGAAATGTATTGGAAATGTCAAATAGCTCAAAAAGTGGGTAACCCACAATTTCAACAATCTACAAAAATTGTCACGTTTTTAAGTCTATTATTGCGTAACCAAAAGAATCCTTCTTTGTATCGGATCGCCACGTGCGATGAAAAGTGGATCCTTCAATACAGGACAATGGTTGGACCCCGTATGGATACTGCATAGTGGTCACAGCTGGTGTAATTCACTATGACTTTCTGTAACCGGTCCAAAGCATCACAGCAGAGTCCTATAGTGAGGAATTCGACGAAATGTACCGAAAATAGCATTAGCAGCAGTCAACACTGGGCAATAGAAGGTGTTCAATACTGCTCCTGTTTGCCCGTTTCAGAAATCACAGTACAAAAATTGAACGAATTGAGCGTCGAAGTTCTGCCTGACCCACCATAATCCCCAGACCTCTCGCCAACCGAATACCACCTTTTCAATACTTCGATAACTTTCTCACGGGGATTAGATCAGATTGTGGGGGAGCTGGCCCATGGCCTAATTCACTGCGACCTTTTCAGATCTATTGTGATGCTCCTTGGTTGTTAGAGCTCATTGTTTAGCTTGATCATTGGATGAGACTCCATAGGCTTGACACAAACCCCTTCATATAGCTGACAGTCTCTGGTTTATCTTTTCCCAGCCTTGCTATCGCTTCGCATTCACAGAGCACATGCAGTGTGGTTCCTTCCTCTTCTTGACAGAACCTGCATTGGGTTTCTTCTGTCAGACTCATGTTGCTCATATGGTTCCTGAGTCGGCTATGCCCCATTTGTAGACCCACCACTACCTTCAAAACCTTACGGTTATGGTTTAGCAGGTCCGTGAATCTGGGCGATGGTTTCTTTATGAACTCTTTCGCCTGTCTCATTCCTCACGGGGAGAACTTTTGCCAATTGGAACCAGGCAAAAACGGTCTTATTCGAAACGGTCGACTTATTTCGATAAAATTGAAAAGGTATTCACCAAGTTTGAAGTAGACTCCTTTAAATCGGACAAAACTTTTGAAACAACCTACTATATGTGATACTTGAATCATTGGTCGATTCAATAGCCGGAAATATTATCAAAATGATGTTATAGAATGTAATGTATATCATTCACATTTTGATGTGAGGGTTATTATATTTTCATCAGCAGGGTCCTCATAAATCAACTGGAAATGATTATCTTTAGAAACTCAGTATCTTGTGGATGTGTTCAATATTGTGGTCATTGAACAGAAAATGTGTAAGTGCTATTTTGGACAGTCGTCTTCACATCTTGGTTGTATCTCTCCACAGTGAGCGCATAAAGATATTCTAGCTAGCGATAGAGTTCTAGGATATAATGATAAAAAAAGGAAATTCAAAGATATATATGAAAATATCCAACATTGTTATGAAAATTTCAAAATAGATTAATTATGGGAAGAAACAATGTTGACAACACTTGAAAAAATATCGAGAGAACTGCTTTAACAAATTCATCCAAAAAAGGTGCGCCTGTGTGTTGGAGAAGCTGGTAGACATTTCGAACACC